ATATATATATATATAGTGTTTCACTGGTGCATATAAATAAAAATTTAAAAAGCATTTTGTAACTACTTTAGCCCAGATCAGGAACGCTGGGATGTCCCGGACAGGCACTTTACGTGTGAGAGCTTTGACTCGCAGGTTGCGGTCATCCATGAGCAAGACCACCTCCCTAACTGGCTATACAAATTTATACGGCTGACAGATACTGGACTGGACTGGACTGGAATGGAGTGGAATAGAGTAGAGTAGAAAATTTTAAGGGCATCAATGATTTGGACTTCAGTAGCAAAAGTAGCTGTGGAGTTGGTAAGTTCAGTTTCGTGAATCAGTTCTACCTGTTTGTTTCAATAAATCAATTCAAACTCTGATTCAACGATTCATTTGTGACTAAACTAAGCAAAAAGTGTTCTGGTAAAACATCAGTAAATAAATATTACTGTGTATTGTTATACTGGTGCATATAAATAAAAAAAAAAAAAGTAAATATAAATTTAGTAAGAAATAGAGTGGGAAAACAGCATTTAACATTTTTTAACTAATTGGCTACAATAATTTAAATGGCTGAAAGTCAAAATAATGATTTCTCTGAAATAAAATAAAATGGGCAAATACATAACTGCAAATACACACTGAATATACACATACATACATACACACACACACACACACACACACATACATATATATATATATATATATATATATATAGTGTGTATTTGCCCTTTTTATTTTATTTTCAGTATATTCGGTATATATTTCATAAATAAATAAATAAATATATACACACACACACACTGAATCATATAAAGGCTAAAACAATATTGAAAAATAATTATTTAGTTGCCCAGACCTAGACCTTTGCTACTGGTATCAAGGCAGTCCAAGTTGATGACAAACTTGCAGTGGTTCAGATCCAAATAAATCAACATGAAAAGAAACTTGCAGCAGGGAGAGGAACTTATTGGAAGTATAAGCAGCATAATCATTCGTATTTTAGCGCCAACATATTTTCACAAAGGGAAGAAATACACAGACCTTTTGTCCAGAAGTGTCCTCACTGCGGAAGGCAATGGACTCCAGTGTGTTTCCTCTGCTGGTGAGCGCTCTGATGCAGGGATCTCTAGCCTCAAACGCTTTCTCCAGAAACATGACTGCTGCTCTGGCTCTTTCCTGCACCTGGCGGGCATGGGCACCATTACTGATCCCCTCACGACTGTCCTGCCCTTTAGCCAGACCATCCAACTCTGTGATCACTGTTACAATGACAAAGAGAAACATTAAACAGAAAGGAAGAGTGAAACATTTATGTGTATTTTAATTATC